GTTGTACTAGATAGGATAAATAGTTATCCATGTTAGTATAAAGGTTAAGTTCCAGATGTGGAACATAAGTGATACAAAGATAGGTTATTTTCGTAAGACCCGCCTCTAGAGTCCAATGAGCGGGTGGATGTACATATTTACACTTGGTTAAATAAAAGTTTTCAGTTTAACAAAAAAAAAAAAACTAAAAGTTTTGTGAGTGGAGAAAAAATTTCATCCATAAATTATCCTAAACTAATTTTTGGGAACATATTTTTTTGTTTCAAACTTTTCAAAAATTGGTCATAATACATGAACAAATAATATTATTTTTTTTGAAAAAAGTAGCCAAAATTTATGGTCAAACGGGGCAAATATTCTGTTTTAGAAAGTATTTTACGTTCCATAATTTTGAATTATTTTAATTACTTTTAGCATTATATATCGTTTTATTGCGTTGAATGCTTACTGGATCGTCTGACTAGCTGCCTAGTTCTATTCGCTCATTCACAAAATTAATAAAGATATCGATCCCATTTATTCAATCATATATTCTTTTTAGTTTTTTGAAAAGAATGGCTGGTTTTTAAATTTTAAAATTATTATTTTATTTTATTTTCTTAAAGTTTTTACAAAAACACAAACTGTATAATTTTTTAATAATTTTAAAATGTTTATAGCTACATAGATATCAAAAATATATTTAATATCACAAGTTTTAAAGTCTTTCGTATAGGGAGATAATAAGTTATTAATGAGATTTTAGTAAGTTATTATCTCAAATAAAAGGGAGATAGTAAGTTATTAATGAGATTTTGGTAATTGTCATGTTAAACCTTTCTTTCCCTTCTTTAGAGCTTCCTTTTTTCATATTTTCTGCAACATGCACACTACAAGAGAACATGCCATTAGCATCGGAATTTAGCATGCTTAGTTTCATAAGTTTAAATGATTTGGGGCACAGAATCTGCCGTAGATGTGAAATTTGCTAATTTTCATTCTCAGCTTTCTCATTACATGAATGAGTGATCATGCCCAACTATGCCTTATAAAAAGGACTAAGCGGTCGCTGCAAATATAATCCGATTTATAAGTCCGGAGTCGAATACCACAGAGAACTAAGGCTTAGCGAAAACTGTTCACTATCACCAAGAAGACAAGCTTGAACAATTCCTAACTTATAGATATTAAGATTCTTGTGTTTAACTAATTAACTAACAAATTAAAATAGTAAATTAACAACTAATGATACTAAGGGTTAGAGAGAAGATTAAGGGGGTCTAGAGTTATGATTTCCCCTATTGCCGGAATCCTTTCTGCTACGTTTTTTATAAATTTGCTTAAGTCTTCTCTATCGATCATGAGCACTCTGACTGTCGTAACTCTCTCCCGAGTAATTACAACAATATACTAGACATATTTTCCCGAATTACGCTAGCTAGCCTTAAGTACAACTCACTTAGATTGCACCAATATTTCGTTATCCCTAATCCCACCTGTAAACCCTTAGTATTGATCCCTCATATAAGTTAGGAGTGATGTTGTTCAAAAACTACCTAAATATGCACTCTCTCCCGAGTAATACATACTAAACAGGCACAGTTGATTGAGGGCCCTTCAATCAACAACAATCACAATATAGTTGAACAAATAGAGAAAATACTACGGCAAATCTATATTAACGTAACAAGAAAATCATCCTCCAATAGGTTCCATCAAAACCCTAGATTAGGAGTTTAGCTATGCATAATCGTTTTCACAATCATAACAATAGAATTCACCATCAACGATAAAAATAAGAGAAAGATAAAAGCTCGTTGTCGAATCTTCCGTCTTGCTTCTTGCCTGTTCTTGCCTTCAAAATTCTTCTAAAAACCAAGTTACCCTCTTTTTGGGCGAGTTGGGCTTCATATAGGTCAAGGTTAGTTACCTTTGGAATTGCAAAATTGACCTTGGGCTTTGTTTCTCGGAAGCCCGTGCGCGGCCGCGGATCAACCGCGTATTGACCGCGCATTTTGCCCAGTATTCTGCCTGACGTGCACGGCCAGTGCGGCTGCGGATCGACCCCGCACCTGGAGGAGTTTTTGCCTTCATTTTTTTCTTTCTTCTTTTGCTCCCTATTAACTCCAAAACACTCTTTAATGTCCTCACAACCCGGAATTGCTCCTGCAAGGCGTAAAATTCATAATTAGAGCAATTTGTTATCATTTAACCTTCAAATATCAATAAAGTGCAGCTAAATTAGAGCGTAATTGGTAGCTAAACTACATAATTATAGCCTACTATCAACACCCCACACTTAAATCATTGCTCCTCCCCGAGCAATCAAACCACACTCCACAGAGGCCTAACTTCATTAAGCGACTTCCCTAACTCGCCACACCAAGAATATTTCACATCGATTGAGCACAGTAGTGTAACATCTTCTCCTCAAGAGTTGACTCCCACGGACCACGCAATATTCCTAACTTACTTACTTACTCTAACGCAGAGGTCAAGACTCACCTTTCCTTCATGAATCAAGTGCCTGCTCATGGCAAAAGAGACTCATTCCACAATCAAATAAAATTCACGCACAATGAGGAACTTCAAAATAGACAGAATTCACTCACCCTCAGAAACGATATTCTTGTGCCACAAAAGATGCTCCATAGGCTTGCCCGTAATGTACTACTCTACTAATAGAGCTCATTCAGTCTAGGATCAAGTAGGACTTTATTTGGTTGTTATGTAGCCTGAGGGACGGGTATGTTACATTTAAATATAAGAGTGACTACACCTCCCTAAGCACTTTAATACATACATTTTAACATTTAAGGCCCTACTTATGTTAAACCAAAACTCCACCTTCACATCAATGTGTATTACCCCATGCTTCTTTAAGCACAATTACATCAAGAACCACCACTTATCAAGGAATATTTTTTTTTCTTTTTCACAACAATGCAACTATTTTTTTTCTTTCAATTCAAGTGGCTCTTATTTTTCAAAACAGTGCACCTTTCTCCTTATCTCATTAGTTTCACTCAAAAGCCAAACCAACCACCCCAAACTTTAACTTTTACAAAGTTAATAACAATTCAAGTGCTCATGAGAGGTTAAAAGGTTCAAATAGATGGTTAATTCAAACAAATGGGTAAGACTTGCAATGTGGTAGCCAAAGAAACAGGATTACAGGCTCAACGGGGTTAACTACGATACATAACAATTAGGCGGGTGGAGTATATATGTGGCTCAACAAAGAAATGCCTATATCACTTCCAAGACTGAACAAGACTACTATTTCGCATTGCAAACACAAGGGGCAAGTTCTAGGCATCAAATGCAGTGCATAGAATACAACAAGCCTCACACACACATGGCACATGGCTCACTCCAGATTGGATCATCAAAACACTCTAGTTAGGGTACTTAAGCCAAATTAAGAACATAAAATTTAAGGCACTCTTGCAAGAATCAACAATTGAGCCTAAGCGTCACACCAAAGTACCCGCTATATTCAAGGCATAACAACGTTAGGAGATCCTATTTCCATTTCAGCCCATAGCCTACGAGTTCCTAACTTAAAAAAAATAAAAGTTAACTACACCCGGTTCAAAGGAAACCCTTGAAAAAGAACTGTGGCCCAAAGAAAAACCAAGGGGGAATTGATACACTACTACAAAAGAAAATCTTTTTGCGTTTATTTAATTATTTATTTATTTTTCTTCGACTTTAATCCCTCAAAAAACCCGACGAATGATATCCATCATCGGGACAAATCGAAACTCTTTTGAAAATTTTATTTTTAGAGTAATAAAAATAACGTACGAGGGTAGAAACCCTCGTACGTTAAATTCAAGCTAATTCTACACTACACGTTCAATTGAAAGAGCTAAAAAGCAACCTTCAACACTACACGTTCCTTTATAGAGCAACGGGCATATGCTCTTACAACTGTAATGTACTCAAGAAGTAAAGTTAGAATCAGTCGATGACCGACACGTGTTCGAAGTCGGAACGATGCGACTGATGGGACGTTTCGATTTACCTTACATCTCAGTCATAACGTACGAGGGTAGAAACACGGGTTCATCTATTCATTTCCCATCATTCCGACAAACCTACCCTCCAGAAAATGAGGGGACTATCTGATACGGGTAAAATCGGGGGCAATGCATATCCCGATTTTCCGGTAAAGAAGATGGAAGAAGGACACAGACATACGAGGTTGAAATCGAGACTGGAAGCCTTTCGTACCGAGAGCCATGAAAGGTGAACGATCTACTCATCATCGGGCGTGATAAAACAACGTTCCCCGGATCCAAAACGAGCTCCAAAGACCTCGAGAAATATGGAAAACGGTTACGCACGATGAATAAAGTGTCGTGATATCCTTACTTGATCAGATATCATGGCGCGGAACTCGCCTGATGTCGGTTACAGATCAGTAATTAATGCGAAAGGAGGATTTTTACCTTTTTTAGACTTGTACTAGGGATGAAACTCTCCTACTATATAAAGGAAAAGTTTTTCTTTGTTAACACACATTGTAACACGCAAACCAATGCAATACAAATTCAATTTTTTGCTTTCTTGATATTGCAAAGTTCTTACTTTACTGTTTGTAAGACCACTGTTCGAGGACTCTCCATTTACAATCGGCTTCGAACCAAGGGTCTGATCGAGGGCAAAACCACTGTTCAACCTAAGTTCGAGCTGGGCTGTAACATTGCAATTGGTTTGATTATTCATTTTGTCTTTAACTTGTTTGTCTAATATTCTTGATTATTTGTGTTGAATCAAACCACATATCTTCAAAACCGCGTACAAATTTAATTGTTATCCATTTTAAGGGTAAGCAGAGTTGACTTAACTTTTTCATTTTGGAAAGAATAAGTGAACATGGGAATAGAAGGTACATAGCGGAAAGCGAACTGCTGCCCCATTATTTGGTTGGTGTTTTATGGCATCGGCACATTAAAATTCGAAAAGAAATATCAAAATATGGATTATTTTGAGAATGGATCAACATGTATGTCTTGAATAAATAAGGTGAGATCGCATAATTTTTATTTACTGACAAGCATGTTATGGATCTAAGAATCGCAAGCTCCGGTAGAAAAGAGATTATTTTTTTCCCAACAGAACTGGGTAGCTTCTATTAACCCACAATATCAGTCAACATTACATAAGAAGTAGAGGCCTCATTGACAACCCAACCAAGGAAGTTTTCATACCATGAGACCTCATTACCTAAAGTCATAGCAAACTTAGCTAACTTGTGACTACAAGTACTGTACTTCCTACTTATATACACAAAAATAACATCATCTAGGAGATGTCTAAGGTACCACACATCTTCACAAATTATATTTACATCCTATGAGGTAACCATCCTTCTATTGAGCATATGAACTAGCCTTTGAGAGTCCGATAAAATAGTAATTTTCCTCCATCCACAGTTGATAGCAATCTGCAAAGCTTTCCTAATTGCCAATGCTTCAGCTATCATAGCCTTCCCAACAAACTGAGTGGGACTACCATGGGCATTAAGCACAAAACCGTCAGCCTTCAAGGCTACCATCCCAATTCTTGCTTTTCGAGACTTTTGATCCAACCCTGCATCAACAAAAAGTTATATATTTTCTGGCGAACGAGTTAGAGCCATTGAGTTCGATTCGCTAGGTGGAGGTGTCTTAGAACATTGAACTACATCAGAGAATTCATTAAAATCATACATTGCTCTTGACAAGAGCTCAGTTTAATTCCATAGCATAGAGTAGAAAGTCCAGTCATTTCTAGCCTTCCAAATCATCCACAAAATGGATACAGAAAGTTCTAGCAATCTGTTAGATTCTGGGTATTCATTAGTATTCAAGTACAAGCCAAACCAAACCACCATTTGAAAAAACAGTAATAAGCTAAACATTAGGCCAAAGAACTGGAATCATTTTCCATACATTAACAGATCTTAAACATCGAAAAAACATGTGTTCAAAGGTTTCACGCTCTATACCACAAACTGAAAAGATTGGATCCATGGAATGAATTCTTTTAGCAATAGCACTTTTAACAGGAAAAGTATTCAAGATACACTTTCTTAAAAAGTGTTTCAACTTATTTTTAATCTTTAAGGACCACGGATGGTTCCAAAATAATTTAGGAAAAACATGAGAGCAACAACCTGGAGTACTTTTAGAAGGCCTATCGTTCATTAACATCAACTTAGCAAGATGGTACCCAGATTTCACTTCATAGTTGCCTGAACTAGTATAATGTCAAATGAGTTTATCCTTTCCTCCAACAACTGAAAGAGAATTGATAAAATAGCAAGCACATTATCTTGATTGAAGAGTTAATTTAAAGTCTGAATATTCCAACAATTTAGATCTCTATCTATCAGTTCAGAAACTTTCATCTCACATGAAACTGCCTCTATCCACCTAGAAGGATATAAAGAACTTTCTTTAGGCAACCATGGGTCTCGCCACACATTTACATCTGTTCCATCTGAAACAAACCACCTAACTCCTTTGCACAAAAGATCACGACCCCATAATATACTTTTCCATATCCAAGAGGCAGAATTACAAACTTGGGCTTGTAACAATGACTTATCAGGAAAGTATTTACTCTTAAAAACTTGAGAGGCTAATAAGTTAGGTTAGGTCAATATTCGCCATGCTAGTTTGGCTAAAAGAACCATATTTAAAGCTTTGAGATCTCGAAATCCAAGGCACCCCTGATTCGGTTCACACAGCTTATCCCACCTCTCAATATGCAGCTTTCGCTTCTCTTCTATGTGACCCCACCAAAATTTGACAAGCAAGCTTGTAATTTCCTTACACAACCCATCAGGTAACTGGAAACAAGATAATACATAAGAGGGAACAATTGCCAAGACAGATTTTAATAAAAAATTTCTTTCCCGACTTGGCTTAAAAATTTGCCTTTCCAGCATTTTATTTTAGAAAGAAATCTTTTTTTTTATAAAAGATAACAAGTCCTTTTTAGATTTGCCCTCCACAGCTGGCAAGCGAAGATAAGTCCCTCTTGTGCACATCACAATGTTTCCTAGAGAAGAACAAATGCTTGACTTCTCACTCTCAATAGTATTTTTGCTAAAAAGATAGCAGACTTCTCTAAATTAATAACCTATCCAGAACATTGAGAATAAGTGTCCAAGATAGTATTAATATGAGAGATACTACTCATATCAGCTTTACAAAAGATAAAGGAATCATCGGCAAAAAATAAGTGAGACACTGAAGGGCCACATCTACCAAGTTTAATTCCTTTCAGTGTTCCTTGGTGCTCTGCTGAATGCAACATTGCTAATAAACCCTCAACACAAATTAAGAAAAGATAAGGTGATAGTGGGTCTCCTTATCTCAAACCTCTAGATGGCTTCATAGAACCTACAAATTCCCCATTCAGATTGAAAGAAAATGATGTAGCAGTCACACATGTCATAATTCAATCTACAAACTTCCTATGGAAGCCCATCTTGTGCATCATGTGTTGGATATAAATCCATTCCAGACGATCGTATGCTTTTGACATATGCCATTTTAATGCCATCGGATTCTCTTTTCCTTTCTTTTATTCTTCAATAGTCCCATGAACTCGTGCGCTAAGACAACATTATCCACAATTTGTCGTTTTCCCACAAAAGCCGTCTGGTTTGGAGAAATTATTAAAGGCATCTAGGGTTTCATACGCTTTGCCAAAATTCTTACAATTATTTTATACAAAGTAGAACACAAGCTAATAGGTCTAAAATAATGTATAGTAGTAGGTGTCTTTATTTTTGGAACTAAAGTTATCAATGTTTGATTCCAAGGAGGCAAAAGATTTCCAGTTTTAAAAAAATACCTAACTGCTGAACACACATCATTAGGAGATTAAAGACCAAAACTTTTGAAAAAATATAGGCGTCATTCCATCCACACCAGGTGATTTTGTGGGTTGCATTGAGAAAACAACAGCTTTAGTTTCTTCGTCTGTGACTTCAGAAAGAAGACCTTGATTTATATTTTCATCTATGGTGATAGGTATATGCTGTAATATTCCCAGGAAGTCTGAAGGACAGGAAGAAGTAAACAAGTCACTATAAAAATCTTCCAGTTCCTTCACAATACCATATTTATCACTTAACCATTCTCTAGGCGCACTCTCAATTCCTTTTATTAGATTTCGGCGTCTTCTTTGAAGAGTAGACATGTGAAAAAAAGAGGTATTTTTATCTCCCTTATTTAACCATTGCACCCTAGACTTTTGCTTCCAATAAATTTCTTCGTCCCTATAAGCCTTACCTGACTATTTTTTCAATATTTCAATGCGCGCAAATTCGGGTCCTTTTCGATTATTTTTTGCTTCCTCGAGATGATTTTTTAGTACTTTAATTTTCACTTCAGAATTGAATCTGCCCTTCTTGATCCAAGACAAAAGGTTTTTTCTACAGTGTCTAATCTTAAAACAGACCCTCTATTATCTACATCCATCACTTTCCCTATACCAAGCATTTTAAGGTAGAAAAGAGATTATTAATATTAGCCATCAGTGAATTTTTACATGTAATAGCCTGTATTTACCATCGACAGGATTATATGAATATTTCTTATACTTTAGTTAACTCAAAAATATAAACTGAAAAGGGCTGGATATATTCTATCTTGTCATTTTCTTAATGTTTATTGTTAAAGTATATATAAACTGAAAAGGATGAGCACTATTGAGTGGTAACCCATGCATACGATAAGAAGAAAGGATTGACGCTTATCTAAGAGGAATTTTTTTTTTTTTTTATAAAAAGTTATTTTTCATTCTCTTCCCATTTTCTTCGTTTTTCTTTTTTGTCTTTCCCTGTCGTATTTATCGTGTTCACGAATATCCTTTCCATTCTGTCATTTATGTTTCCTTTCCCCTTCTACTCTTATCCCCGTCATCCTTTCTTTAATTCTTTTTTATCTTTTCCGAAAACATATTATTCATCAACAACAAATCCAATCAACAGATAATACGCCAATAGCAAAAGAATACCTAATCATGCATTTTGCCTGCAATATAAATTTTCCATTCTCAATACTAGCATGTAAATTCCAGCTCCTGATATCAAAAAGGTCAGCTTCTTATGAAAATTGGATGAAAGTAACCACATGGCAGAAGATAACTCTCTCCGGCTTCCGTTTACAGTTGTTATTTTCAAAGAAAGTTCTCATCAAAATAAGTGTGAATTCAACACTTTTCCTTTTTTCTCCTCTTTTGCCAATCTCCTAATATAATAGAAAGAACTTAAGAAAAGGTCCACTCTTTGTTTGTTGTAGAGTACGTAATCCATTGCAGCACAATTATCTGCACTTATTCCGCCGACCAATTTTGTATACTGAGAGAATATATGAACTTCACTGATATTCAAATTCGCTCTCGTGTTACAGCTTACAAGTTAAAATTCAGTGCTCTCTTTTTGGTACCCTAGTCCGATCTTCAATCTTCTCCTATGAAAGTATTTTCCTTGGGGCAGAATTTTGCACTATAACTTTTCCTAAAGGATTTTTTTTCAATCACACCAGACATAACCCAATTCAACGAATTAACTTATACAATACCTGAATTCAAACCGCAATACTCATCACACGAAACAACAGAGTCCAACAAAAACAAAATATAAAGCTCATAAAATTAAAAATCAAAAGGGCAATACAGACCTTGTTTTTGGCAGCAGCAGTTCCCTCAGCAGACATTTCACTCTCTTGTTTCAGATCAACTTTAAGATCCACCACGATGCTCTTACTCTCCAAATCCCAAATCTTAATACTTGATTCCGTAGCAGCACAAAGCCAATACCTATTCGGACTAAAACATAAAGCATGAATAATAGACCCAGCCTCAAGCGAATACAGTTTCTTTCCGTCAGCCAAAACCCAAAGCAAAATAACTCCGTCCTTTCCTCCACTAGCACACAATGAATCATCAGGAGAAACCGCAACGGTGTTCACATAACCACTGTGTCCAGCTAGAGTGGACCTTAGCTTGCAGTTCGTTAAATTCCAGATTTTCACAGTCCGGTCCCACGACCCAGAAACGATAGTTGGCTCACGATCGTTTGGGCTAAAACGAACACATGAAACACAATCCGAATGTGAGTCCCCGTCCGTAATTGTGTACTTGCACTCACCGAGCGTGTTCCAGAGTTTAATGCTTTTGTCACGTGAGGCTGACACGATTTGACGGTTATCGACGGAAAGTGCAACGGACAAAACATCCTTGGTGTGACCTACGAAACGACGAGCGGTGGTTCCATCTTGAAGATTGTGACGACCCGATCCGTCGTCTCATGTGTTACCGTCCCGTTTTCCCCATTTATTGATTCTTCATGTTTCGTTATCGGCATTTGGTGAGTTAGAGTTGAATTGGTTTGGTCTTGGTGGAGAATGAGACATTTAGTCTCCTTAAGGAAGGCTTGTGTTGGAAAGGTCAACCGGATGTTGACTTATGAGTTAGAGGGCTCGGATTGGAGTTCCGGTGATTCGGGTAGCTTCGGAAGGTGATTTGTGACTTAGAAGTGCGATCGGAATTAATTTTGGAGGTCCGGTGCAGAATTAGGCTTGAATTGGCGAAGTTAGTATTTTGACGAATTCCGGTTGATAGGTGAGATTTTGATTCGAGGGTCGGAATAGAATTCCGAGAGTTGCAGTAGTTCCGTTAGGTGATTTTGGATGTGTGTGCAAAATTTCAGATCATTCGGAGGTGTTTTGGTCGGGTTTTTGATCGAATGCGTAATTCGGAAGTTTTTAAGAAACTTAGGCTTGAATCCGATGTGATTTAATGGTTTTAGCGTTGTTAGATGTGTTTTGAGGATTGGAACAAGTTTGAATGAGGTGTTAGGATGTGTTGGTATTTTTGGTTGAGGTCCCGGGGGCATCGGGGTGAATTCGAGTGGTTAAACGAGAGTTTTTGGAAGTTGCTTCAGGTCTGAGATTTCTGTCATCTGGTATTTCCGCTTCTGCGGAAATGGACCGCAGAAGCGGTTCCGCAGAAGCGGGTGGAAAAGCGCAGAAGCGATCTTGTGTTGAGTTGATGAGTTCCGCATAAGCGGACCCCTTTTCGCATCAGCGGGTCCGCAGGTACGAGTGAATAACCGCAGAAGCGGTCTTGGGTAATCCGCAGAAGCGGAGAATATGTCGCAAAGGCGGAAGTGGTAAGTTAAGTGAGAAACCGCATAAGCGGGGAAATGGCCGTAGAAGCGGTCCCGCATATGCGGAAGCGGGACCGCATAAGCGAAAATCGCTGTAGGCAGAAGGGGTTTTATAATATCATATTTCATCCGCGAGCTTGGGGTATTTTCCACCATTGTTGAGCGACCTTGAGAGCTTTGGGCGAGGATTTTTGAGAGTTTCGACTCGAAATCGATTGGAGGTAAGTCCCTTGGCCTAATTATTCGAGTTTATGGTAGATTTAACATGAAAATTAGTGGAAATTCATCAAAAAGGGGATAAGTTAGGGCTTGAGAAATTATAAGTTAAAAATAGAATTTGGAAGGTCAAATGGACTCCGATTTTGATAAATTTGATATGCATGGACTCGTGGCGAGACGAGGAATCCGATGATGTAAATTTTATAATTTTTTGAGAAGTGGGCCCGGGGCTCGGGTTTTGCCAACTTCGTGATTTTCGATGTTTTTCGAGTCTTTTCGATTGGATTATATCCCCTTAGCCTATTGTAATGTATTCCTTGTGGTCTTGATCAGATTTGACGCGCGAGGAGGTCAATTCAAGAGGAAAAGGCATAGCGAGCTAGACTTTTGGGCCGGCTTGAGGTGAGTAATGGGTGTAAATGATGTACTGAGGGTTTGAGACCCCGGAATTTCACATCGTACCGCTATATTGAGGCGAGGCACGCGCTCTATGACGAGTGCGGGGCTGTTGGTTTAGGGATTGTGACTTGGTCCGTCCCGGTGATGTTTTACCGTGTTTTTCTACTAGAACTTGTTGGAAATCATCGTTATTTGGATTTGACTGTTGTATTTGGGCTTCGTGCCGGTTATTTGGATCCTTCAGGGATTGATTTCATTGATTTGCATACCTTGCACATTGTTTAACCTCATTCCAAGGTTTTAAGTACTATTTTTGCAAACTCAGCCCCTTTTTCTAAACTTGAAAATTCAAAGGATATTTTAAATGATATTTTGGGCTGTGGATTACTGATTTAAAAGTGCCCGAGGGGCTTATTGTGATTTCTGGATTTATGGATGGCTCGGGCTGCACGCCACAGCAGTACTATGTGATATTGAGGCCGAGGCCTGGTTAGTGCCATGAGATGGCTTATTTGCGCTTGGGCTGTAGGAGCCCCTCCGGAGTCTGTACACACTCCCAGTGAGCGCCGTCGACGTAAAATATATGGTTGGCTCAGGCTGCACGCCGCAGTGGGTACCTGAGTGTACCGGTATTTGCATTGCATTGCATCATTGCATCATTCCTTACTTGTTACCTGTCATGGTTCTTTCTGTACTATTACTTTATTGACTTGCCGGTCTCACTGTTAAAGGTTTGGTACTGCCCGTTATAGTTGCCTTGTGTTTTTTTTGTGATTTCTTATCTTCAGTTATTATTTATGCTTATTACTCACTGAGTCGGAGTACTCACTTTACTCCATGCACCTTGTGTGCAGATTTAGGTGCATCACAGTCTGAGGGAGGACCTGTCTAGCTGAGCAGCATTTCACCGGGAGCATCGAGGTAGCTGCATGGCGTTCGCAGCCTTGATCCTTCCCTCCTATCCCTATCTTTCATTATTCCGTTTCTTAGACAGTCTTGTTATAGGATGACACTCTGTATTAGAGGCTCGTGATCGTGACACCG